ATGTTCTCAGTTGCTTCTCTGCTGTCTAATTTTTGTCCTTAAAAAAGTAAATAAAAATAAAAAACCTTTAATCTTTCTGAATACCAGAAACTGTCTTTCTTTTTTTCAAAAAATTATTTTTTTCTGAAAACCCTGTAACTACTATGCTTTGTCCCATTAACATGTATGATTCAGGTTGATTGTTTATCCTTTGCTGTAGGAAATTGAAAAACCAGTAGCTGTTTCAGAACTCTTCACAACTTTGCCAATTGTACAGGTAGGTGTTTCGGCGTTTCAGGGTGTAATGCCCCATTCATTCAATTCAGATACACCCAGTTACGTGTGTGTTCTCTAAACTGGACTGTGCCTTCCTTGCCTTCCAATCTTCCTTTCCATCAATAGTCATCTCATCCCTGAAACGTTCTTTTGCTGTTAATCTGGTAGTCTTTGATAATTTTCTTCTCCAAAGTCTTACAACTTTTAAATTATTTCGTATACGCGTGAATGTGTATACATATATACACATTCTTTTTTTCTCTAGCTATGTTATCAATTCTGTGAGGAGAGGAACTAGGTTTTTTTTTTTTTTTTTTGCTTCAGTATCGTTTATTGCTGGTACCTTTTAATGAATACTTGCCAGTGATAAAGAGGAAAATCAGTTAGTTATATTTTGTGGATTTTTGATTGTACATTTTGCTTACAGGGGAAATCAAGACCAATTAAAATTTTAACAAGACTGACAATTATCATTTCGGATCCCTCCCACTGCAATGTTTTGGTAAGTTAATTATTTTTCTTCTCTCTTTTTGGCTCTGTAACTTATATGCATTAATGTTGAATGGTGTGGCTTTTCAAAGGAGCTCTGGTTGCTTGCTGGTTAAGGCATTTGCTTGCTAATTAGAAGCTTGCTGGTTTCAACCCACCAGCCACTTTGCAAGGGAAAGATGAGGCGCTTTGCTTCTGTACAGGTGTAGAGCCTTGGAAACCTGTGGGGCAGTTCCACTCTGTCCTATAGGGTACCTGTGAGTCGGAATCGACTCGACAGCATTGGGTTTATTTTGTTTTGGTGACTTTTCACCTCCCTCTACTCTTGGATGACTACTCACCAGAAGGCTGGCGGTTCAAACCCCCCAGCCACTCCTCGGAAGGAAGGTTGGGCAATCTACTTCCGTAGTGATACTGCCTTGCAAACCCAAGGAGGGGTTGCTGTGAGTCGGGTCCAACTCAACAGCACATGACAACAACAACTACTCTTAGAATCCCCTTTGCATGACACCTGTCCTGCTGTCCCTGTCCTCAGAATTTTCATTGTATATCTGTACTACTCATGGCACCTGCATAGTGATTTCACAATTAAAGAATCCTTTAGCAGCTGCTGTTCACTCATTCACTTGTGCCAGTCATAAGGCTGGGTTCTGGGGTATTGCTGTTATTAACACAGACACAGTTCTTGAACTTACAAAGGTTATTATTTAATTGGCAAGAAAAGCACTTAACAAATACTAGTTACAAATGTGAGTTATGTTTGGAAAGGGGAGTCATGGTAAATGAAAGATGCTCTGGGAGTTTGTAGCAAGAGAGCTGTCCTGAGGAAGTTGATGTTCAAGCTGGGGCCTGACCAATCAGTGATTGTTATATAGTGGTACATAAGGGACACCAGGGAGCATGCAAAGTCCTGAAGCCAAGGAGGACATGGTGTGTTCTGGAAAACAAAACAGCACCAATAGGGCTGCGCCTGCTGAGCAGAAAGTCAGTGCCCGATTAGAAGTGTTTCAGTGTAGCTAGGTTGTTAGGTGACATTCCATGTGTATATTTTCTGTTCCTGTGTGATAGCTTTCTCTTTTATATTACTAGAGAGCAACCTCTTCAAGGGTCCGCCTGTATGATATTGTTGCAGTTTTTCCAAAGACAGAAAAGCTTTTTCATGTAAGTAACAGATGAATAAAAGAATAGCGTTTGTTATATTGTATAAGAAGTCTAATATCATTCCTTTGTTGGTGACCTGTTTCTGCCCCCTCTGGAACCTTTTAGGATTTTTAAGTTATGCTTGGAATTTTGAAATTTCACAGAGTTCTACTTAGGTGGCATATTTTAAAAATTAATCTTGATAGACATTTGATAGCCTTAGAATGAAACATCCTATTCAATTTTCTTCTACTATTTTGCTACCTTTGTTATTATTTATTCATTCATTCATTTACTTAATTTTATTTTTCTTAGGTAAATATTGGTCCATCTCTTTCTAGCTCTAAAGTCATTTCAGTTTCTGCTTGCCTTATCTGGGAGTGAAGGAACGGGCAAGGATCTCCTGAGGCATCCAAGCCCTCACCTCAGCCTCAGCTTTCTCTTGCGTGCTCTACGGTGTGATTCATATGCCAGTATGGTCACATCAGCTTGTAATCTTCAGAAATTTTTCACAGTCAACTATCAGCTGATACCATCCCCCTTCTGCTCTAGATTAATTCCTTTATACTTTTAAAATTCCTGTTTCAATGATTTTTTAAGTGGAGAAGAAGTTTAACATGTTTGCTTATTCACCAACTTGAGACAGAACTCTTTAGACTATTTAAATGATTATGTTGTTGTTAAGGAGCTGTCATGGTGTGGTGGTTAAAGCATTAGGCTGCTAACCAGAAGGTGGGCAGTTTGAACCCACCAGCTGCTTCAAGAGAGAGCAATGAGGTAGTCTGCTTCTGTAAAGATTTATAGTCTTGGAAACTATGGGCCGTTCTGCTCTGGCTTTTAGGATTGCTGTGTGTTGGAATTGACTCAGTGGCAATGGGTTTATGTTGTTAGGTGCTGTTGTTGATTTTCAGCTCATAGTGACTTCACATAACAGAGTAGAATTGGCCTAGAAGATTTTCTAGGCTGTAATATTTATGAGAGCACATCGCCAGATCTTTCTCCCACATAGCTGCTGGGTGGGTTTGAGCCGCCAACCATTTTATTAGCAGCCCATTGCTTAACCTTTGTGCCACCATTTAATAGGTGCCATCAAGTTCATTCCATCTCAGAACGACCCTGTGTACAAACTACTGCCAGTCCTGCACCGTACTCAGTCATTACTGTATTTGAGCCCATTGTTGGAACCATTGTGTCAGTCTGTCTCATTGAGGGTCTTCCTCTTTTTTGCTGACTGTCTACTCTACCAAGCATGATGTCCTTCTCCGGGGACTGATCCTTCCTGACCATGACTCAAGTATAAGAGACGAAGTCTTACCATCCTCGCTTTAAAGGAACATTCCGGCTGTCCTGCTTCCAAGACAGATTTGTTCGTTCTTCTGGCAGTCCACAGTGTCTTCAATATTTTTCATAACACCATAAATGCAGAGTGTATTGCAGTTTTTCAGAAATGTTTTACTGTGTAAAGTGAGGTACAGCTGCTTTTTTTCCCATTTGTTTTATTTATTTGTTTATTTTATTTTTATTGTGATTTGGGTGAAAGTTTACAGAGCAAATTCATTTTCCACACAGCAGTTCATACACATTTTGTTTCAAGACATTAATTGCAGTTTTCCACAATGGGGTATAGCCACTTTTAGAAAGTTCATCATATAGATTAAAAAAAAAAAAATATGCATCTGACAAAAGGCTATCACAGGAAAGAAAATTGGTATACTGGTCTTTGATGTTTTGTTTTTATAGCGTAGTTCATTTTTAAGCAGAATCTGTTCTGAATTTGTAGGAAGATTTTCCCCAAGTTTATCCAGTAGATGGAGCTGTTGACTAAGGAAGCTGATTGTGGTAAGTGTAGTTTCCAAAGCACACTACCCACTCTCAGTTAGGTTAATTGAGGGAAACAGCATACATCACCCATGAATGCCTGCCACCTTTTGGTGAGATCCTTTGTTATGTATAAGAATTACATTTCTGAAAAAGGGGTGCATAGACGCAAGTGGCTCTTAATCATCAGAGACCTCTGTGGAACTTTTTAAAGTCTGGCAGATTCAGCCAGCACCGCTGGAAATGCCAGCTGACTAGGGGTTGAGTCTGGCCATCTCTGGTTTTTCAAGTTCCTTAGGAGTGTGTGACTCGGTGCTGAAACCACCAGTGTAATGCCTCAGGAGGGTCAAGAGCATTTTACAGTTTGTTAAATAACAGCGGTTTCGTTTATGCCACTTAGTTGTGAGGTAGACTTAAATTTAGTAATATGTTAGACCTTTTGTTGTACACTGGAGTTTTGGATTGATTTTGAAGAGTGTATATTATGGTTTTCATTTCTCTAGCCCTCTACTCTTACTTACTACCATCTAGTCAATTCTGACTCATAGCAACCCCCATTGGGTTTCCAAGGCTGTAAATATAGAAGTAGACCACCTACTTAGAGCAGCTGATGGGTTTTAACCACTGACCTTCTGGGTAGCAGCCAAATATCTTAACCACTAAACCACCTACTAGTGATTATGAAAACAAGCAAAACACTATAAAGTAGCATTTTGGGGTGGGAGATAAACATTTATTTAACTTCCCAAATATTTTTACATATGTATTTCATTTAACTATCACAAAAATCCTATGGGATAGTTGGGATGTATTTTATAGAGGAGAAAACTGAGACTCAGGTTAAATGATTTGGTCTAAATCTTTCAGCTTTTAGATGAGACATTTGTGTAGAGCTAGGGCTCTTGTGTCTCACAGTACAATGTAATTCTTTATGGAAGTTCACGTTATTATTTTCTCACTATTCAAAAGTTTGAATTGGCCAAACACATGCTTATTGATGGTGCGTGGAGTGGTAAGAAATACTCTGGAGATAGCAGAAAGCAGTAAATAATTCGTAAAATATTTGTTTGAAATTGACTCTACAATTGCTCAACATTACATGAAAATACAGATTCTTAAATTGGAACTTCCCCTTCCTTTTATCTGTCCATGTCTTACTCATTCTTTAAGGCTCTGTGCAAGCTAGAGCTCTCCTTGTTTTCTGTAGAAAATTAATTTTAAATGTTGTCTTTCTTTTAAGCATTAAGAAAGTAATAATATCAAACTAACCACCATTGAGTCAACTCATCGCAATCCCCATTGGGTTTGCAAGGCTATAAATCTGTACAAAAGCGAACTGCTCCATCTTTTTTCTACAGAGTGGCTGGTGGTTCAAACCACTGACTTTTTGCTTGGCAGCCAACTACCTTAATCACTATACCACCAGAGCTTTAAACATAAAGCTTTTGTAAAAATATATCATTGGAATCAGGTCAAAAACAGGCACTCTCTTGCTTGACAGAATGCATTCTGTAAGTGATTTTATTTAGTTTATCAGCTGATTATCTAGAATTTTAACAGGTGTCCCTGTAGCTACAATATTCTAAAATGAAGTCTCTAAGATGAGTCAGAATACACATATGCACACACACATACACACACACATTAATTAGCAGTATAAAATCTAACCACCTTATATAACATTGTTTCTGTGGGAGAAAATGTATCTGGAAGGTGTCTGGTAGATAAGAGACCCTCCCAACCAGCTACCCCAGGGATAAGGCAAAGATTAAACATTGTGAGGAGGGTCCATTGGCCCTGGCCTCTTGGGAGGGAGCTGCTGTGGAATGGCAGAGTTGCATAGCAGTTTCAAAGCTTCTGAGTCAGTTACTCCCATTTCAAGCAACTGGTCAAATTCAAGTTACTTAAACCAGTGGTCTCCAGACTGCTTTGATTGTAGACCCTGTCAGTTTAAAGAAATCAAGCTTGCTTCCCCAAAATATGTTTATTTTTGTATAAATTATTTGCAGATGTTCTCTTTTTTCTCGAAATCTGTGCCCTGTCCTATAGCACTGTAAAGTACACTACCAATAACTCAGGCTCCAGAGTAGAGTGTGTGTCTTGAAAAGCGTTGTTTTTTGGGGAGTATTCTGGCTCCACTGCTTTTCAGTTACATGAGGTGTTTGTTAAAATGCAGGTCCTCAGTCCCTCCTTACTGAACAAAAATCATTGAAGACAGAGCCTTATAATCTCCATTTTTAACAAATACTTCAGAAGATTTCCTATACACCTATTTTTTTTCCAGTTTTTATTGTGATTTAGGTGAAACTTTACAGGTACATTCATTTTCCACACAGCAGTTAATACACATTTTGTTTCATGACGTTGACTGCAATTCCCCACAATGTAACAGTTCTCCTGCCATTTCCTCCCTGTAGTTACCTCTTCCCTGTGTCCTCCTTTCCTATGCATTCCTGCCCCTTGAGTTGTTTCCCTGTGCAAACACCACCCTTTTGTTCTCCCAGGATTGATCACTAAGGGAGTATATCTTCCTGATGTAAATGTTCACCCTATATGCCTGTCTTTTGTTTGGCTGGAAGCCACAGAAGTAAGTTCAGTTCCAGACCCGAAGGATAATTAGGGGCCATAGTCTCAGGGGTCTCAACAGGCTCTGTCAGACCCATAAACCTGGTCTTTTTTCTTTATGATTTTGAGTTTTGTTGCACATTGTTCTCCCACTCTATCCAGGACCTCCTGCACAGGCCCCTTTCTGAGTATATACCCAGTG